AAAGAAGGCGGCCGTCGAGAAGGAGCTAACTGACCTTCAAGCGAATGGCACGTCGGAAGTCGTGCGAGCACCCGCAGGAGCAAATATAATATCGTCGAGGTGGGTATTTCGTATTAAGTTCAACAGCCGAGTAACCAGGTGGACATCAGTCCGATGGTCCAGCATCCGGTTCCGATGCCGAACAGATGAATACCGCGGCGAGTGGAGCTACGAGTATTGGTGCAAAGATATCACAGGCACGGAGGCCACGATGGAAGCCAAGTGTACCAACGTTGCATCTAACGTACGTAGAAATTGCGGCAGCACAAAAAAAGAGCAGACTAGTGCAGAAGCTGGCGACAGTTAATGAACATTGAGGCATGAAGATATGGACGATTGAACTGGTCGTGATCAATACGATAAGAGGCACGCGGGCTGTGTTGCAACCCGAGTTTTGGCCCGTGGTGTATTGGAGTGTCACGAATTCGTGTGGGTAGGACACTTGAGAGCGGCACGCACGTACGCAAGGATCGCAGAAGTGTATTAGTGACCGGATCTTATGAGAGGATGCAAGGAGTGCGGGAGCAGAAAGGCAAGACCAGGGGGGGTAATGCCTTTGAGAATCGTTAACGGAAGGGACGTTGGCGACAGGTGGGCGTTAGGTGTAGCAAGTCCCTTGCCTACCACCGAATGAGAGAAGTGATCCGCTATAGCAGCGGTTACGTACGGCAAATTAATCCCGTACCCACACCATTAGGTTAGTGGAGAGGTTTTATCGTACATGGAAAGATATGGTGGCCACGTACATGAACAACAAAGGGCAGCGCGATTGGGAAACGTCGGTGGATTTCGACGTATGCGTATAACTTGTCACAACACACCACTGGGAAGCTGTCGACCAACGAGTTTATGATGGGTAACAGGTAAAAGAGTCCGAGTGAGGTGTAACGCGGGGTCAGCGTACGCAAGGCTGAGGAGCTCGCGGGGAATCACTGCAAGCTGTTAGCGGCGATGAAGTGTAGCCATGAAGTTGCTGAACAAGCCCGGACCCCAGAACAGCAATGACAAGCGAAATGTTACGATAAAAAGACGAGGCAAGCAACGGTCGTGAAATCAGGAGGGCAGTTTGGATGTATCGACCTCCCAGAGGCCCAAACATGTCTAAATCGGTGCATCAATCCTTCTCATTTTTCACTGCGTCTCGAGGTCGTCTTTCACTCGTTCTCAATGACAGCAATTGGCCAGCTGCACTCGCTGCTCGTACAGCTTTCCCTGCGCCGACACATCTTTTATGCTCGTCCGCATCCTCAAATATTGTTCGTGCCTCAATGTCGACCGCAACTTTCCTGTACACCTCCGTGGGGTGGTGGTACTAAATAAAGATTAAGTTATGAGCGACGTATCCCTTGCTCTTTGCACCCGTGTCTTTTCGCTCGATCAGAAATTGTCATAGCTGGCAGTTTCAACGACACGAATCGGAAGAGCGTGAAGACTGAAGCACAGTGGTACTATAGTAATACGTGAGTAACGGCCACGTACTTGTTGCAGCAGGCGTCGTTGAGTAGTGATTCGCAGGACGCGGAAGTGACCGGGGACTGCGAGTTGCTGCAAAAGACAGAAGAGAGAAAGAGAGACGAAGAAGTCTCTACAGAGTAAGTGTTGATTGAGTGGTAAAATTAAATAGGGACTTAGGCCTTGGCATCTTTTGAGTGGGTCCATACGGTGTTAGCTTGTGTTGTGGCGGGCATTCTACTGGTGTGGCCTACTCGTAAGCAGCCGCAGGTGGAACATATGATACAATTTGCTTGCAACCGGCCGCTACAGCCTGAAGGGCATGATGGAGATTGGCTTGGAAAAGATGAACTCTCCCGAAAAGGTAAAGGACCAGATACTGTGGATGGAGAGCGACAATGATTGCGATAGGAGGCCACAAGAGTGCATGGGTGACGCAAGTTTAATAAGGCAAGCTAAGTGCCAACAATGGACTTGACCGGGCGACGGTGTTTCCACTACCACCAGGGTGGGCATCGAAAGGCAGACTGTCCCGATATGAGCAACGACTCTAAGCTGATGGTCAGTGTGCCGACGGACGAGTAGGTGTAAGTCAACGGCGCAAGCGTCCGAGGGAGCGTGTAATGGATCGGCCCTGGCTGCCGCCTTTGGCGCAACGGAGAACGCAGAGAGATGCAACATATAGTTGGGAGAAAGGCCTGGTGAGTGATTGGCTGGCAGTGTGCCTGCAGCCATTCTTGCAAGAATAGGATCTCAGTCTTGAATCAGCAGTGGCAAGCGCAGGTGATGTCGAAGGAGATAAAGAGCAGATAATAAGATGAGTATTTTGCATAGTACGCTTCTTGGCTACTTGTTGGAGTGCAGTAACATCCTCCAGACTTTAATCCTAACTCAAACGCTTTGCTGTAGCAGTCGTAAATTCGCTGTTGACCCAGAGGCGAGCTAAAAAATATTCAATAAATGACAATTCAGAAATTTCGGAAAGAAATGCTAAAAAAGTGAACGAAATCGCACATTTTACTTTTACCGAGTAGCTCGTACTTAAGCGAATGTTAGGGTTACACTGTGTGAGTGACTCGAGCCACTTCGTGTTAATTGGTCCCGAGATACGTACTAAAGGTACTACGCAAAAATATATTACGGTAATTTAATTTTAACAGATTAAAAAATTCATCATTTTTAGAGATATCGGTGCGCGACTGGTAGCATGAAGTGTTGCTGTAATGTAACTGGAATGCATGAATGTCACCCGAAGGTACGAAGCACTTAGTGAGAATTTGCCTGACGAGTACTGCTAGAGTAGAGCAGACCATGACCAGTATCTTTCACTTTACGCAGATCAACAGTATCACCGCAGCACGCACACATTGGAATCAACAGACAGAGGCATCACAATGCGAACTACAGGGGTACATTATCTTCATGTTATCGACTTCCTAACTCGCCTACTGCAGGCACTTTAACATGTACCGAAGCCTGAAAAAACGCATTGAGGCATGGCTGAGCTTTTCCGGCATATCGATGCCGGTGAGGTAGCACTCAAAGAATAGTAAAACAGCTGCTCCACAGCTTGAGAAGTCCGGCTGGCGTACATTCGTGACTCTTTGAATCGGCAAAGGTATGGAGCTGTCTTCACCTTCTAAAAACACGTCTTTCAGTAGTTCTTCGCATTTGGCGTAATATTTTGACTTGGGGTCTTGCAAGGGGTCGAACACCAGGACTCCTCGACGTTCGCTGCGATAATCGAAATTGCTCCACACCAGTGGTTGTTGTCTATGTGTAGCGGCAACAGAATGATCTGGTTCGTTTTCTTGAAAGGCTTGCCTGCATTAATAGCCCTGAGCCGGGCGTCTTTATCGTGGAAACGATTGAAGATCGGGTTAACGATGCCAACATCCGGGTGTTCTCGTTGGAGTAGAGCAATCCCATGCCCCATGCATGAATCATCCATCCACATATTTTCTCGAAGCGTTAGTGGTCCGTTATAGGGCACACTACCCGAACGAAGTCTCGCGGCCACCCTTCAGAATGATAATAACTTCCCGTTCTGTCGGATCGCTGCTGACTCCGTCATCAATCTTTACCGGTAGAGCCAAGCGCTTGACGCTAGTGTTGACAGCCCAAGTAATCGCATGTCCGTACACATCGTTAACCATGAACGAGAAGATCTTGTAGCGCGATTCGCTGGTGTTATGCGTCGCGTCAATGAGCATCACTTCAGGAAAAGCCTTGAACCAGCGTCGCATTTGTCTCGTCTGCAACGCGATGGTCTGTGCAGTTTTGGATTCGTCGACGTAAACGGTTGCTCGGTTTCCAAGACATTCGCAAATCCCTCGCAAGACAGTCTCCAGCCGTTCTTCAGTAGTCGCACCTCCCCTTCGTCTCTCCTTCATCCTCGCCACCATGTTGTGCACATCTCGAAGCACCACATTTTTTCCTACATGGAGTCCAAAACAAGAAAGCTATCAGTCACTATATATAATTCTGGGTTGAGTTAAGCGCACCCACCTTTCTTCTTTCGCAGGAACTGCATAATTAGCTTCGGCTTAGAACCAGCAGCTTGGAGTTCATCCACGAATGCCAGTATGTCCGGATCCTCCACGCGACGGTTCGACACATGATTCTCAAATGTAGCGCGAGACACATTGTGGTTGTGTCTGACGTCAAAGTCAGTGACGCGTACCATGAACGTGTCGTGTTCATCGCTCCACACGACAGCAGCCTTAATGTTTGCCTTACAGCCTGTAGTCTTCTCAAAAAACGACCTTCGTATCCCCTTTCCACGGCTCTTGCGCTTCCACCCGTGAGTGCAGACCAACTTAATCCAGAAATTTCCGAACTCCTCAGGGATCGATCGATCCGACGTCTCATCAGTAACTGTGTTAGTTGTGCCGGAATCATCTGGGTCCTTCGCATTAACACTCAGGTTTGCTCGCGCCTTAATTTCTCGATTTCTCTTTTGAACCGACGTGGACGTGCGCTGTGGAAAGATCTGGTGTGTCTCCTCTTGGTAGCGCTCCATGTATTTGCGGAAGGCATCCCAGCTCTCATGCCACTCGACATCAACTGGGGGACAGAGCCACGAGACCCCAGGAGGGACTTGCCGCTCGGGTTCACTGTCGCTCATTCTGATTGCACACATGAGAACCCAAGAATACGCTCTTAGCTTACCTCCCCCCTCTAATCTACATGAACATGCATGCTTACCTTCAGAGCTGTCGTGTGTCTTCGTCTCGTATTAGAGTTTAGGAGGGGCGCGTGGCTGATGTAGTGCGCGGGAATTTTTTGGAATGAAAGGCTCATAGATTTGGGGGATGGGAGAAAGGGGGGAGAGGGGGTGTCTTTTTCAGAAATCTTGTTTTTTAGAACTGAGTTGAAATTTACCTCGGACAGTATTTTATCGTCAAAATTACGAAGGTACTACTGTAATGTTTCGTGTAAGTACTATTTTACTCGGTGCCTCCTTTTACTTTTTGCGAATCAGTATTTAATTTCTTAGGAATCAGCCCCAATTCTCCATACCGTTTTGACACCTCGTGATGTCGCCTTCGGTGGCCAATTACAGAGCGGTGGACGCAGCGGAGCGCTGGCCTCATTCCAGCATGGGCAGAGCAGACGATGCAAGTCGCAGTAAACGGAAGTTGTGGCTTCGTCTTGGCGCTTTCGCCTTGTTATTGGCTACGACCGTGTCGCTACTGTCAACTCTACCTGTACGGGAGTATATGGAGACCACTAGTGCTTGGGTGGAGGAACACCTCGTTCTAGGCACTTTGTGCTTCATTTTGGCCTTCTGGGTGGCTATTCCGCTCTGTTTACCGGCTACAGCGCTGGAAATGGTGGCCGGATCACTGTTTGGCGTTCCACATGCTGTAGTAGTGATCACCGTGGGCAAGACGGGCGGGTCTACGCTCGCATTCTTAATGGGACGCTCCATGGGCAAGGAAATGATCGGCGGCTACCTTCGTACCAAGTTCCCGACTTTCCGAGCGTTCTCTGAGGTGCTGAATAGTCCGAGCTGGAAGCCTGTACTGCTGTATCAGCTGTCCAGTATCCCGAACCTTGTCAAGATCTACAGTCTCGCTATCACCCACGTGTCGGTGGAACGCTTCGTAGTGTCTTCGGCGGTGGGGAACCTCCCACACGCTGTATTGTGGGCATATATTGGCGAGCAGGCGACCGATATCGCTGCGATTCTCTCGGGGGAGACCAAGATTACCACAAGTCGCATGGTCATGGTGGTCTCGGGACTCTCGCTGACAGTGCTGGCCATCACTTTCCTCGTTGTGTATACCAAGCGGCAGCTACAGGAGTTACAGAAACGCGAGTGCCGTAGCAGCAGCGAAGAAGGGCTGCTGCTTTCCATTGAGATAGACGCCACAACTCCAAATAGCGCCAAGAGCACGACGCAGAGCGTGCGTCCGTCCACACCCACACTTCAGGTCAGGGATTGAAATCGAGCTGCAACTTATTAAATGCAACGAACTGTTTCAATGGTCAAACTGAGAGTAACTAGCTACTGTACTGCCTTCGAAGTACATGCTAACATAACTTACAGGCTTGTTGGTGTTTGCCATACCAGTACACTCCACGAAGATTCCCCGATATGTAACTTGCACGGAAGCACAGTACAGTGTACATGCATGTTTAGAGTTCAGGTGAATCAAGGTCCGCCAGTAACACAATACACCTCACTTATTATATTATTATACAGTGTACATGCACATGCGTTTACCGTTTACGAGCTGTGGTGATGCTTACGCCCATTTGCAAATCGCAGTGCTTCGCGTGTGTCGTAATCCGTGTCTCTTAACTGAATTACTTCGAAGTTCGAGTCATCAAGATCTTTTAGCGCCGACAGGACGATCGGTGGTATTAATAGCGTGTCTAGCACCTGACAATGTGCCTGTCCTCTTCCTCAGGAAGTTCCTGCAACGTTTCATGCCAGCCAAGGCCAAGGTAAATTGGTGGAGACTGTAGCTTGCCAAGGTAATGAAGCCATCGGTTCCAGCCTCAGAGACTTCAACCAGCGATGCAGCTGAGTCACTCGCGGACGAACCCATCTCAGCCTGAAAATTCAGATGCCCCTACGATCACCGACAAATGGATTTGCGGATTGCTGTGCTGTACATGTTTGTATTTTTTTACAGGTATTAAACTTCGTAATACAGAACATGTACATGTAGCACCTTGCCGGCATTGCATCATGAAAGTCAGCGGTGTGATTGCGCTTGGTGCTTGGCAACATGGCGTACCCTTGCAATGCCTAGCACGTAGCGTCCGATTTAGTGTTTGTAATTCAATAATTTCATGCTGTGCATTTGCAAGTACTTTTTTGCTGATCTACAGTACAAGTATGGCGAAAGCTCCTTCACTGTCGGATTCTGCAGTGGTGTCGTGTCGATCAAAGCGATTATAATACTGCATCCGTTGTTAGCAGAGTGATTGTCTTCTTTACAGCATGAGCTTCGCCAGAAGACAACGCCTCGAGTCGTCGAGTCAATTTCTCTTTAAAGGTTGGGTAATCTTCGGTCTTTTGTTAAGAGAGTCCTGGATCTTCTGGTTAGTTGATGATCAACTTCCCTGCTGCTATTGTACCGTTTGAGGTCCGCCGCTGCATTATTGCCGATCTCTGGATTTTTGACTACATGTATTTAAAGGAACAAGAGGGCAATTTGATGCAAATAAAGTGAGCTACATGTAAAAGATCGAAGGGCGAAGCAAGAATCTTGTTTCAAGACACTACACTGTGCTACAGTAGTAGCACTGCTACCGAGCGCAAACTCAGGGTTAGTTTGGACCTAGACGGCGTAATCTCCATTTAGAAACCGCGAGTAATCAAAAACGACCTATTAAAGTTAATTATATCAAAACAAGCAAAGTCGTACTTAATGATTTTGAAAGAAATTAAGAGCAAAAAATCTATGGAAACTCTTTATCTTATGGAGCAGCATCTTATTGTAATAGGGAGATTTTGCTACGCTGGTGAAATGATTGAGATATATTATAGATTATAGACTCTATAAAACAGCACCGTGCAGAGACCATACCAACATTAGCATGTCCCACGAGATTCAACAGTTGAGGTCCAATTAGCAACTCACCACTTCGGAGCCGTTGACCCAGCCATCACTTCCTCAGGGTGCTCCTGTGGTCCAGCTTTAGCTTGCTCGTGCTACCGGTGCCCAGCATCTTATCCAACTGGCCAAATCCGTCTGAAACTAAGGCCTTATTCCCCATACTTTAATCGACCAACCACAGCAGTACCCCAATCACAGTCACGGCCATGGGGTGCTCAGCAATGTCGGACACAGCGAAGCGATGGATCAAGGTTGCATCGTGGACAACGCTATGCTGCGGGGTGACCTACGCGTTCCTTACCCTGGTACCCGTTAAGCTCTACATCGCCAACAGCATGACCTGGCTCCAGGCCAACCCAACAATGGGTACCATGCTACTTCCGCTCATTTTAGCGGTTGGCATCCCACTTTGCATCCCGTCGCCAGGCTTTGAGATCCTCGCGGGTTCCATGTTCGGCATCGTCACCGGGACACTGCTCTGTGTTCTGGGCAAGACCATCGGTCAGGTGATCGCGTTTCTGACGGCTAAACACTTCGGTAAGGACAGAATCAGCGGCTACATGCAGACCAACTTTCCTTCGCTCGCAGCTTTGACGACGGTGCTTCAGAACTCCAGTTGGAAGCCGCTTCTGCTTATTCAGGTGGCCAATGTGCCGCACCTCGTCAAGTGCTACGGATTAGCGATGGCTGACATCCCGACCCACAGGTTTGCCGTGTCGTCGGCGGTGGGTGGACTACCGTACGCTATTCTCTGGGCCTACATCGGATACAACAGCAAGAACCTCGTGTCTAACGATGAGAACGCAGTGGAGCTGAGCGAGACGGCTTTCCGTCAACGCATGGTGATCGGCGTTGGAGGCACCGTGTTCACGGTGCTAGGCATGTGGTGGCTCGTGGTGTACACGAAGAAACAGCTGCGCAGCGAGCTGCAGCGCATCAAGCACCTGCACCGCTCCAGCGTGGACAGCGATGACACGTGCATCACCATATCGTCTTCGGACGATAACGAGGAAGTCGTTCAGATTGGTTTACTACATGTAGTACTCCGACCCGAAACGTTCCCCACGGCCTGACTGTCGCCCAACCACGATGCTACGATGACATCTGACTCCACACTCACAGCCAAACATGTACACTACTGTAACTAAAATAGATAGGCAGGCAGACACAACTGTACGATATTAATCCAACGGAACTTCCAGTGATACATGATCGATCTAAAATTGCCACGTTAAATGCCGTCAACATCTCGCTATTTTTACTCGTTTAAAACGGCTGTCGTGAACTGAAATTTGATAAATACTGTAGCCAATTAAAAATCGAGCGACGCCGCTTGGTGTTAAAGAACACCATTATGGTTTTTACACAAATGCACGTCGACTAAGTACGAAAGTCAACTCTAGTCAGACTTGACCTTGAGGTGGTGCGCCATACAGAAGCAAAGAAGCGACCAGCTAGGGACGCAATTACGAGCTGTGCGCCATGGATTTCGACGCCACGATCGAGCGACTTAATTCGCTTAAGCTGCAAGAGCGCAGCGCCAATTTCAATGCGAATCAGCACGCAGAGCACACGGCGCAACTGCAACACGAGGTTCGACGACTGCAAGAAGAGAACGAACGCCGCGTGTTGGACCAGGAGCAGCAGTTGCAGCGCTGGCAGCTGGAAATGCGCGAGATGCAGACGCGACTCGAAGCTGCTGAGCACCAGAACCGCTTACTCAAAGCTGCATTGGGCGAAGTGGATACGTATCGACACCAGGCTGAGACGCAACAACTCGTGATCGAGGAGCTCCAGACGCAAGTCAAGCAGCTACGCATCACCAACTACCGACTACAGTATGTGGTGCAGCAGAATGAGCCACGAGGAGGTCAAGGGTCTTTTCTACCGCCGCCACCGCCAGATATTTTCTAAGATGGACGGACATGAGAGTACTACACTACTGCGGTAGTTGACGCTTGCACCATTGTATAATGTAGAATCGACCCTAGAGGAAGGAGAAACGAGAATGCCTCAGTGCACTGCAGCTCCATTAGCGCGGTGCGGTGCTGGGTTTTTCAGCTGACTAGCCTTCCTGGAAAAGAACAAGTGTGCTCTAATATTAAATCAAGAACGCAAAAGACTGCGTGTCCGCTTGCTTTAGTATTGACCTCGTTTCAGGCGGTCAATGAGACTGCAGAGTTAATAAGAAAGTGGTCTGTGAGATCATTGCAGCAGTAAAGATCTCCTATACAGTTACGTACGTATTTTGTGCAGTAGCTTGTGTGGAAAACATTGCTGCTGAGATATAGAACTCCTCCACAAACTTTTCCATCTGCAAAGTACGCCATAACAACACCGAATTGTCAGATCTCAGTCGCTCCACCGTAGTATTTGATAAAAGCTGACCTCGCTCTCCAAAACCGCAACCTAGAGCAACACAGCGTCAATAAACTGGCATAACTGTTTGTCTCGAACAGCCTGGATTTTTCCACTGCAATCATTCTCGTCGCACCTCTTCTTCCAGAGCATTGAGCTTGTCCACTTCTGCCTCGGAGCAACACTCGTTCATGTCGACTCTGTCTCACAAACCACAGCGTAATCTTAAGAAATACTCGATCTGCTCGTGTCTCTGACAGTATCTTACTTGATCTTCATTACGTCTTGCTGCTGATTCAGCGCCAAGTGCTTGGACGCTCCAGGTTTACGCTCGTTTGGCAGCCATCTACGTTGGCCCCCACACTCCTCCTCACGCAGAAGCACATTAGGTCTGTAGTCAAGCAAATTATCTAATAATTTTAGTTTAATTGTCAGTGACTCACTAGTGGTAGAATATCACGTTGTACATGAAGTGCTGTAAGGCTGAAGGTTTCGCCACGGGAACTTCACGCGGTCTTCGCCTCATGCTAGATCGCGGATTTGAAAAGTGCAGATTGACAAAAACTCGCTCCAATTGTCCTGTCAAACCTGTCATGTTTCATTTAGCCCTAATCTAAGTAAGCTCTAATTTACGTGACTCTTACACACCCGGACAGTGCTACCTGTGGACCATCTTCGAGCAGCTCAATTGCACCGCGCACGATGATGCTCAGTGTGTTGCGCCGTCCGTCCGTGCAGCTGTCGCTGCTCGCTCGCGCAACACGCAGTGGCGCCCTCCAAAACCTGCGTTTCCTCAGCTCCACGTACGTGCTTTTCAATATTCAAACGACATATTGCTCATTAAATTACTGTGTCAGTAGTGCCCCGACTGAGCAAAAATCAAAGAAAAACGACGAGGAGGAGGAGCTGACCAATACGAAACTGTGGGACACTGTGCTAGCCGACCACCCGGAGCACGCAAAGCAGCAGGGTGGTGACCTTCTCTACGAATACCCGCAAAAGGTTCATCAGTTTTGATCGATGAGAGACGTCGAGGAGTGATACTGAGGGCGTTGGCGCTATATTCTGATGCTGTACAGAGCTACTTCGGCTACATGTCAGCTGGCTCTCTCGCTCATGTACGTGTGTCAATTGCTACTGCTATTAAATAATTTTGTGCTGACTTATTGAGTGTTTAGATTGCGTTCTGGTCGTGGCTCAAGGGGTACGAGCAGAGTCTCGTCGAGAGTAAGTGCCGAGTGCTAATAGGCTAACTAGATGCATCGAGATTAACGGTGAAACTATCTTGCAGTGCACCCGGTGCTGGGTGAGCCGACGTTCTTCTCGTTTATCTCAGACGACTTTGGCTCGTCGATGGGCTTCGGCATGAGTATTCTGCTTGCTGGTCTCATTGGTTTCCACGCGAGCGTAAGAAAACTGTGCTGCTGTGCTATGCTCATCATTTTTGAGCTAATTGTGTTGTAATCGATGTGACGTAGCGGTCAGTGGCTCGTATCTCGGTCGTAGCAGGCGGGGACAAGCTGCGCTTCACGACCCACAAGTTTTTCGGAGTAAGCTAAACTCTTGTCAACGTTTTTTCTTACAAAGTAATTCTTACACCGCTTTTGTGCATCTTACAGGACTTCGCAAAGCCCATTGATGTGCCTATCTCCTACGTGTCGGCGAACCCCAACACCAAGAACAACATCATCCTAAAGCTGGCCAACAGTCGCGGCTTCTTCCTGGTGGACACCAAGGGCAAATTCTACAACCGCGAGAAACTAGAGCGAATGATCACGTTCCGCACCGATTTCGTGCGTTCAGAGAGTTTGGAGCTGTGTATCACCGATTCTAACAACGATTCTGTGTTAATCTTAACAGTCGGAGCACAAGAAAATGATGGAGAAGAAGACCACGATCGAGGTGCGTACGGACTTGCCGCGTGTGGATCTGAAGGCCGAGTCTGCACAGGCCAACGCCAACCGAACACTGCCTACGCGACCGCGCTCGAAGGCTCGTCATGGCAACCTGCTCGGCAAGAGAAACACCTCGAAGAAAGGAGGCAAGAAGAAATAGAGTAGAGGTCGATAGGAGCAATGTCAGCGCTTTGGGAAGCTGTTCACAAACGTCATCAAACACGTGTTGATTAACTTACACTCAGGCTGACCCCATGGAGGCTTCGACAGCAGCAGCAATCAGCAACGCGTCGTACAAGTCGCGGGCGTTATCCACAAGCCTAGCAGGCTCAATCCGACTGGAGATATCCCGCAAACTCAGCAGAACAGTCGTAGCATCCTCAGCAGCCAGAATCTCCTCGCGGAACTCTCGTACCACGGCAACACACAGCAGGTTGATGAAGGAGAAGTCGCTCGGAGTAAGACTGAAGATGGCGTCCCAGATCTGCCAAACCTGCGCGGTCTCGAACTCTCGAGCCATCAGTACACGAACCCATCGCAACAGGAAAATCTGTGGCTCCACTCCGAGGTTGGCGAGATGTTTGGCAGTCGGAGGATCACAGCGACTCAAGATGTGGTGATGGATCCGATTCATCTGGTCGTCGAGAGGGGAGGCCGGCAATTGGTCAGCAGAACTCAGAGGTTTGTCGGCTTGTGGCTTGGAGTTCCTGCGAGGAATCGGCGCGTGGGGACAATACGTGCCAGCCATACGCAGCATCATATCTTCCAATAGAAGATAAGCGTCGTGTTCGATGAACTCGGACGCCGTAAGTTCCCGTACGATTTCAGCTGCAGCGTCACGACAGCACTCGTAGTACTTCCCGGAGCCTCCAGCGAACGGAGCTAAGCGGAGAATCGAGTCGCGGTCAAGGAACGAGTCGTCGTTCTGGATATTGATGAAGCTCTCGACGTAGACGTAACTTGGGTCGTCCTCTGAGCTGGCGTCTTGGACTTTGGTAGCAGGGAAGAAGTACGAGCCACTGAGGCTTCCATCGACTTCCACGTCGCACTCTGCAGCGACCACTTCTTCGATATCGTCCTCCTCCAATGGCCACTGTTCGATGTGAAGTAAGTACACGAGAGTCGCCAAGAGTTCCCCCATGCCTTGGTTGTACGAGATCTCCGAGTGTGTAGTGGAGTAGACGTACAGCACACGGATCATCAAGCACTGCACGAAAGGGTCGCGGAAAAACGGCATTTCTCCTCGAGTACGACGCACGTCCTTGTAAATACTGTACAAAAGGCTGTCCGTCGAGGTCTCACATAGGCTCAAGAATTCCTCGGGTCTCTGCTTTCCGACGAGCAGGTTTTGGAATAATTTGAGCTTACTACGCTCTTTGTCATAGCGTTGTCGCTTGTCACGAGCGATACTTGTCCATTGACTGAAAGGCACGTCCGAGGGGATGTATTCCAGCCACACTTTCCACGTGAGACTGCGCATACACGACCACGAGAGCGCTCCTTTAGCTGCCTGGATACATAAATCTTCTCGTGTGGAGCGTACAAAGACCTCGAGGAACTCATCCACTCTAGCTTTTGCATCACGTGTCTGCAGTTCACACAGAGTGACGGAGGTGACGCCACTGCCAAGACGGTGACGATGTTCTTGCACCCCATCGCTGCTTACGCGTTCGATGGCGTTGCAAATAGCGTCACTCCAGTCACTAGCGTCGCGTACGTGGTCAGCACATAAGAACCAGGTTTTATCCTTGGTTACGACCATCAGAACCTCTTCCAAACTGTCAATATGTGCGTTCTGAAGGCGAATGCAGCCCATGGGAGTCGCTGCGTCCTTGTGCGGGTAGTAATAGAGTCCCAAGTCGGCAGGGCTGGCTCCAGCAAGCACCACTTCGAAGGGTTTCCATTCCGGAGGTTGACCTACCTCCAATAGCAGAGGTCCAGCCTTTAGCTTGGGCTGGAATCGAGATTACAATGGAGTTAGAGTGGGTGGATGATGGATTTGGAGTGCCACAAACGTACCAAGAAGCGGTTCACTACGGGAGCAGGCACAGAGAAAGTCTGCAGCAGACGCTCCCACACATTAGACTTGCTGGAAGGTGACGACGGCGGGCGTAACACCTCCATCGATGGCAATACAGATCTGGTCTGGGATAGCGGAGACGTTAAGGTCACTGGAAAAACAGTCGAAATAATCTAGTTTCGTACTTAATGCGACGTTGAAGATGTATCCTCGCGTCCTTTCAGGATTGACAAAATTACTAGAATAGGCACGGTTTTTATTTTAAAAGTTCGATAAAAAGTTCGGAAACTTGCAATGGAAATTAGTCATTACGCTGCCACAGGTAGCAGAAGTACTTCGAGTGTGGAGCGACCGATCCAGAGCAGCGCAGGATCTTGACGTACTAGCACGAATTTGTCGGATTGATCCTCGAAGCCAAGAGCAAGCAGGAATTCTAGGCACTCTGGAAACCGTGCGACGTGCCTGTCAAAAATCCGATTATCTTTTCGGATAAAGCGGAACTTTTCATCAGCTGGGTGTGTGATGATATTGGATATGATCTTGTGCAGCAAGGACACTGCCTTCGATATGGTCTCGGGGCTGTAATGGCTCTGCAAGTGACGTACTGCGTTGTGGATGCCCTTCTCACGATCGCCTGTTACAACTCAAAAGTTAGTAAACAGACTTCGGAAGTTCAAAATTTTACTATTCGACGTACTCATGGCCAGCGTTGCAACCTCTTCGTCGACGGTTCTATCGTGTGCTTCAGCCTGAACGTGTCGCAGTAGAATTTTAGAACCATTATCAATGCTTTGCAGTTATTGATCTCTTACCGTTGTTTGAGGTGTGTCTGTTTGCTGTGACGGAGTAGTTTCAGCGTCTACAAGACCAGTTTCCCCCATCTCAACATCTTCGGCAACTGACTTCTCTTCAAACTCGGTGGCAGGCGTTTGCTCTGTCCGATGCACTTCCATGGGTAGAGAATGTTCGTGGGCGTTTGAAACTGGCAAGGAGATATTGAGCAGTCGAGATGCTCCTGTTGGTCCACCAACCAGTCGGCGTCCACGTGAACCGCTTGAGCTAGTTGAGTCATCGTGCTGTAAAATGGTGGGAGAGCCACCGACAGCGGCACCACCCGAATTGGTCCAGTCCAGCTCGCTGCACTCCCTCTCAACTTGCCGCATTAACTGGTAAAATTTGTTATCATGCTCCGAATGCACCTACAAAAAACATTAGCAGAAATCACATTAGTGATAGGTTAAAGCGTCGTAAAGCGAGTCAGTTGGACTTACATTATGTGAGAGCTCGTGGAAGAGCACCTTCTTGATGCTGCAACAATAAAGTTTCGTTGTTGTTAGTTCACTCGATAACATGCACATAACGTTAGTAACCATCGTTACCAACCTTAAAAACTTCCGGAAGCCAAGCAGATCATCTGTACGCAAACGCAGCAAGATTTTCTGTCCTTTGTTCTGGTTCAATCCCAGCACACACACTGGGTCCACGCCAACTTTTCCATCCGGTGGCATCTCCGCCAAAACACCAACGCTCCATCTAAACACCCACAGCATCAGTGACTCGTATCGTCACACTAACGCATCACTGTAAGACGTACTTGTGTTTCGCCATCACCGCCAATATACCTCGATCATTCGCCAACTTCTCCAAAATCTCCTGAGCTTTGTTCTTGTCGGCAAAATTGTTCAGCGGCTCAATAACGTGGAAACGGTAGGTCGTCGACACTGCATCACGCGCTTGGACGCCTTGATTCCGCTTGGAAATGTCCACCACGTGTCGATTCTCCCTGTAACAGTGTCAAAACTCAGCTCTGCGCTCTACCCTCACTCTATTTGGTCTCACTGCGCACCTAATCTTCATCTCCCGCTGCACGGCGTTTTGTGTGGCGTTCATGCGTTCAATCTGAGCCGTTGAAGCGCCTGCCATCAAGAGAAATGGAACGGCTTCGTCACACACGTCTCGCAGCCGTCTCGATTCGTCACTACAGTCAACACGACGATGCTTCTGGAACAATCGCTGCGTGTCCTGTTGCACGCCCACCACGTGCTCGATCTGTGCTTGTAGATCAGCGACTGTAGGCAGAGGTTCATCGGGAAACGACAGCTCGTGCGTCTTCCCCTTGTAGCTTACACTCGCCGCTGGCATGGTGCCGAAAGGCTGAGAAAGTCAATTAAAAATGAACAGGAGCAACGTACGCTGTAGATCAGAATGTTTGTAGCTCACGGAAAATAGTATTCTGGACTTCCAAGATGTATTATACTACTATTGAGATGACGCAATCAGTGAATTACGGCAAATCAAATAAATTTCGTATGGAATTATGTACTCTCACTTCAACTCAAAAGATGCCTATTGCTGGACGCCCCTTCGTGGACATCCTCCCCTCATTACTCGGCAATGGCGGCACCTTTCAGCACGTTCCGCAATGGATCTGGCTCTCGAGGCGTGGGTGAGTCGCTTATCCTCAAGCGACGACAACGAGAAGACCATCTTGCCAACTTGACGACGTCCGTCAAGGATGTTTCGAGACTCAACGCTCGTGCCGAGTGGGAAGACACGCTGCACGATAAAGGAGAGAAGAAACAGGTACTACGAGCGGTCACACAACTGAAGAATCAGCATGAATCGCAGCTTCACTCGAGGAGATTGAGGTATGTGTCTGAAGGGGCGGTAGGAACTGCGTTTAAAGCTAACGACCCGCGGAACTCTACGTCAGACTCGCTGAGTTTTACAATCGAGAGATGGAAGAGTGGAGAGACGAGTGTCTGGCCAACGTTGAGACCCCAGAGGACAGAAAACAAAAGTACGTTCTGCTAACTTATGCAAGGAGAGCGCTGTACGGCTGACCATGTGATGGAATTGTAGTATGATTCAACGTGCTCTGGCGCTGAAAGAACGGCGAGAAAAAGAGCGACTAGCCATTGTGGAACAAAAACGGATGCAGCAATATCGGTACGTAGAAATAACTACTAGAGCATTGGTGGTGACTTTTAAATACTCATTGGTGTTTGTGTAGTGAGTCTTGCGACGATATCCGTGTGGAAGACTCGAATAAAGTTCAACAGATCGTGCTAAATGATCGCGACAAGCAACTCGAAGAGAAAACGAGGGCTGCAGAGCAAGAGGTGCGCATAGATCTATAACCTGTGAGTGTATTCCACTACAGTTTTGACAAGTTTTCTTAGCGCGAGTTCGAGCTCAGAATGGCGCAACTCTGGGAGGAAGATCGACTGAAGAAAGAGGAACGCGATCGTAGAGACGCTGAAATGGCTATCAAACGCAACGAAGAGATGAAGAACATTCTGGATCTACAGGTCGATCTCGTACAGAAGCGAAAGACCGAGCTAGAAGAGCGTAAGCGAAGAGAAGATTGCGACCAACTCGGCGAGTGGGGACGTCTGAAACAAGTGGAAGAAGATTTAGAACAACGCAATCGTGATAAGGAGATCATGGTGAGCTTTTTTTAAGCATACCATGACGTCAAAGACAGTCTTCTAATTGTTCTTTGGTTTTAACTTTAGAGAGCGTTAGATGTCAAGAAGTTCAACCAAGAGAGAGTAGAGGCGAATCGCTTGGCGTCCGAGAGAGAGCGACTGTACGACCAACGCTTATTGGAGCAGGTGCTGGCTCAAGAAGCAGAGACGCAGCGTCGGGAGCGAGAGCTACAAGATAGATTCCGCCTAGATCAGCTCGACTATCAGCGAATGCTCAAGCGCCAAATGGAGACTGAAGCGGAAGATCTCTCGTATCTGGATAAAATCCGCAATGACATGGAAGACCAAGTGTGGGCGAAGCGTGACGCCCAGCATAACGCAGAGGAAGCTGCTCGTCAGGAACTACTGCGCCAGGTTCTAATCTCTCGCACTAGCCAGATGGATAGCAAACGAGCGAATAAAATCCAAGCCAAAGAAGAAGACACGGCGTATATGAACCAGATCAAGCGCGACGCAGAGGAAGCGCTGCAAAAAGAGCTCCGTGAACAGGAAGAACGTCGTGAAGAACTCAAGCGGACGCAGTCAGATGTACTACGTCAGCACGAAGAAAGGAGACTTCAAGAAGATCAGAACAAGCAGGCCGAGTTTCTAGAACTCAAGCGCATGCAGTTCGCCGAGAAGCAGCACAAGGAGCGCATCAAGCAGTTCTCTAGTCACATGCCCACCACCAACTTCCGTCGCAAAGCTGCTCAATGGTACTTCGACGCGTAAGAAATCTGTAAGTTTCAGATGCATTCTGAGCAAATACATTTTCCAAATTTATGATCCGCCAAATCTGAATCACATCAAATCACGTGGACAAGTCCGCGACTTCCTGAGGCTGCTCGTCACTGTTGAGCCAGTCTAACGAGCTGGTTGCGTTCTTGTCGACTTCTCCGTCTAGTCGGATGAGCTTGTTGCACTCTTTCGACAGCTCCGAGAAGCCCAGACGTCCGCGACGCTGGATGAACTTGGCTACTTTATCCATTTCCTCCTCCGTAATGTAGATGAACTTGCCACGGTCGTCCACGATTCCTGTAAGGCGGTTGGATGCCTGTAGAGACTCCACACGATCAATCGCCTCCTGTGTAGCCAAGTTGAACTCCGACGCGAGATCCTCGAGCAGCACCACCTTGTGGGACTTAACGTAGTCGACGAACTGCTGCAGCAACGTCTGACTCTCTTTACTGTCTTCTGTCAGTTTGGAGCCCTGCTCTTCAATTGTAAACATGTCTTTCCACTGGTCGAACTCCTCCTTCTCTTTGCGTTCCTTCTCCTCCTTCACTTTCCGCTCTTGTTCTTCCAAAGCTGCTTCAATCTTGTCTTCTTCCTCGCGTTTCTTCTGGTACGCGGCTTCTTTCTCCTCGGCCATACGCTGACGCTCCTCACGTTGCTGCTGGTCGAACTACACCGGAGAAAAGACAGAATTTATTTAAGAATAATTTCATTCACAATCTGGAATATAGCCACGTACCCGTCGAAGTTCTTCACGTTCCCGGCGCTTTAGCTCCTTCTGCAGCTCCTTTTTGGTCATAGCGCGTCTATTCACACTCAAAAGTTAGACGCGGAGTTTCGTACTCTTTGTAGTGAGTCACGTACGGCTCCACGGGTCCTTCTTCTTCTTCTGCGGCTTCCACGGCCTCGTTATGAGCCGGGGCTGCGGCCTCTACGGGAGCAACAGCCTCCTCTCGCTCGGTGTTGCGCTTCTTGCGATCCTTTCGTTTGCGTAAAGCCGCCAGGCCTCCTCTCTCGCCGCCTCGGACCACCTCGGCCTGGTCTTCATGGGCTACTTTCTGTAGCGGAGGAATTAATAAGTTCAAGAAAGAGTTAAATACTCAAAGTTGGACAGAGCTGAGAGGAGATAACGCACTTTAGTTCCAGCGAAGAATCCCGCTAAGAAGAGCACTAACAGCACCGTCGCGACCAGGCCGCCGAGCGATATGGCCAACAGCACCCCGTCCGACAGCATCGTGGAGATTTTGATGTATACATCTGTATACAAAAAATAAACAATTTTTTAATTGATTTTTTTGTTTAGAGTTTATGGAAAGGTTCTAAACTACATGTACATGTACAGCTTCAGTTATATACAAAAATAATTGGAATAGTACAAAGCTTTAGATTTAACATCCAATATCCTTTTGAAACTATTAGTACTTACTTAAGTACTTATGTTTTGAACAAATACGAACTGCTACTCTAGTTCTCAGCACTTCCGGCAGCTTCGGCGGCTTGGACGTTGTTAATGATGTCTTCGGCCACCTCGTCTAGATATTGAAAGAAAGCACCGTGTCCTGCGTCCTCGTACATGACCATTCTGGAATGGTCGCTGGCTAAGTGATTGTACAATGTCTGGGTCTCACGTGCTGGAATGACGACGTCTTTCGAGCCACCGACGACGAGGATGAGGAAGTGTTGGTCACGAATTGCGTGAAGACGCTCGTCCGACACAAAGTGCGAGAGTACTGCCGATCCTTGGCCCATCAGGCCGAAAACGCGTGGTATCTCCCTGTTCTCAACCAGGTACTTGTGACACTCGAACATGGCTTCGTAAATACTTCGTGGGTCATTCTCCATGTTTTGCGAAAGAAACTTGGGTGGATACAGCAGCACCAGGAGGCTATGAGTCTCCACGTTGACGTCACTGTGGTCAAGCGTCCGGCATCACACCGCTGCAAACTGGGATATATCGACCTCGTGTCGTACACAATAGTGACAGCGACTTCACCCGATTTGGAGCCATGTGAGCCAGCTCAAGTGAGATCATCCCGCCCATACTGTACCCAATGACATGGGTCTGCTGCCAACCGATGTGGTCCAACAACGCAAGAATATCCTCAGCCATGTTGTATGGACCGATGGGCGAAGTGGAGCTACCAACGCCGCGGTTGTCGAACGTTAAGATCTTCAAACGCTTGCCAGTCTTCAGCGCTTCCCATTGACGCAGCATTGTTTCGATTGTCGGGGCCCACGTCTCCTTGGAGCTGAGAAATCCCATAACAAACACCACTCGAACCTCGTCCTCATTAGATGCTCCATCGTCAGTCGAGGGCTCCCACGTGAGTGGATGCTGGTGCAGCACGAACTCTAAGATGATACCTGTACAGATCTTGACGCGTCGGACGTGACTAGTGTTGAAGTGGTACGGAGCCGTGTATACCACTTCAATGTGGCGCTGCAAGCGGAATCCGGCACTATCCATCGCGTCGGACATAAATGTGGTGCGCCTGGAGGACATCAACACTGACAGTGAACTAAGCGAATGGATAGGACCGTTGCAAATCGAGGAATGAACGATTCTTGGCAGCAAACAGGTTATGTCGGGACTCAAGCCTGATGATGTCACGGTTATCAAGATCGATGTCATCCTCTCAAGCACTGATAACCCGTTCGCACTTGTACTGACTTCTTTACGTGACGATGGTGATTAACACTTTCACCTCAATATCCACCAACATTCATAGTTGGAATGGGTCGAATTTCAATACAATATTTACAGCTTTTTTTAAATCAGTTTTAATGCAAATATATTATTTCCGTTTTTCTTTAACTTCGCCGACTTTCAAATCAGATTTTATGGTAAAAAAAAGCTTTGTTTGGCTGCAATAATTAATTTTCGCTTCTGGTCCCGAAAGATCAATACTCTTAGTTTTAAGTTTTATATTTTTCTAAGGGCATTGATATCGAAGCACCTGCCTCTGACAGGGGGCATGGCCATCCCAGTTATTTCTTATGGAATCTAAAATTTATTTATTTATTATTTACCTGTACATTTCTGATAATTTATTTTGAATAAAGAGTCATCTGCTTTAATATATGATACAAATCTCTTTATCATTATGTACCTCTCACAACCAACCATGACCTCCCATATACGTAAAATACGCTGCTACCAACAACTCTCAAAGCCAGCTACACAGCACAGCTTTCTGGCTTCCTCATTTTTTAATTTGAGTGACAAAAGTCACTCGCCTCTTCGCTAACCTACCATGGTTTTTGCCCCGCGCATCGGCAGCCCAACCCCCATGCCAGCTCAGGTTACCAGATTCCACTTCCGACCGTGACGTAAAGCTAATGACGAGATCGTCTCTGAGTACTTCAGCTGTCGCTGCGGTACGGTTCGGAAGCAGACCCGGCGAAACGGCTACTCTAACCTCATGCAGCACGTCCGTCGGAAGCACCCCGACTACGTGGCCGTTATACTGTCCGCACCGCTGAGACTGGATCGCTGCTAAGCTACGTCCGTCGGTCAGCGCTCAACGTGTTCGGCTGGCTCGACTGGATTGTCAGGAACGGCCTCCCGCTCAGCTTCTGCAAGAAGGTAAGCCATCTTTTTACTCAGTGTAAATATGTTTCTAAATTCAGTCAAACTAATTTTTGTGTCCTTGTAACCCGGCCGACTTAAACAGCCAAGCTAGCGTAGAGTGTCGAGTCAGGATCCGGATGGATCTTCCTACCAGCAGGTTGTAATTGAGATCCAACACGCGCAGAGCGCGAGTATCTCCTTTCTCCACCGCTCCGTAGTTTCAGTTCATTTTGGCTTTAACGTCCGGGCTGACACAGGTGACTGGGTGAACAGATTCCTTCATGTTCTTGTACCAAGGCTGCGGAGACTGCCCAGTCACTGGCATAAACTATAACCGTAGGTTGACGTTCCGGATCGAAATGACGGAGGATGGGCGTGGTCGCGATCCTGTTCCTCAGCTCCACGAATGCGTGTTGAGCTCGGATCCACCGAGGTTCCACCCTTTCCGAGTTCTGATCCGTCGCCTCTATCCTGATTGGATCCTCTTTCCTTTGGTCCCGGGGCGGATCCAGCACCTGTTTTAGGTCCTCTTCTGGCGTCGTACTACTTGGATCCCTTCGTGGATCCGACATCTCCAGGGCCAGAGCTTGTTGGATTTTGATCCGGACAGCTGGAGTGGTCATAGCAGCAAAATCTACCTCTCTCAATTCATAAAGTACCGCAGCAAACAGTGCGTAATCCTCGATGAGCCGGCTGTAGTAATTCAAACTGCCCAAAAAGGATTGCATCGCCCGTAACGACTGTGGGAAGGACAAGTCGGCTAACGAAGCCAGGCCCTTAGGATTCGCCTCCAATCCCTCCTTGGAGACTCGATGGCCTAAGTAATCCACCTTGCGCATCCCCCAATAGCTCTTCACCACACTGATAGAGAGATTCCACTTAGTACACGCCTCCAGTAGGGATGTCACTCTTTCGCACAACTGATCCCACGATTCCGCCGGGATTAGAATGTCGTCGATATAAGATCTGCGTCCTAACACAGACGGGTCCCAGGATCCCCGGGCTCTCCTGCTTTGAATGGATCTACTTCCATATGATCTTCCCCGGATCCACCCTTCTCGGGTTCCGGTATTCGGGTGAATCCGTAGAAGGCGTTATCGATCAGGCGTTGGTAGATCTGGGGTGCGTTCTTCAATCCAAACGGCATCCGGTTCCACTCGAACAGTCCGAACGGTGTGACGAATGCGGATATCGCGCGAGCTCGATCCGTCATAGTAACCACCAAGAAACCACTGGCCATGTCTAGAGAACAGTATCAGAGTACTTTATCCAAATCTTCCAACAGCTCATTGATTAGAGGCATCGGATACACCATCAATCGAGTCAGGCCGTTAATTAGTCGGTAATCAATGCACAGACGTATATCCACCCCGTTCTTCTTGATGATGATTACCGCCGGAGATGCCCGCGGGGATGTTGAGAAACTGATGATCTTGGCTTGCAGCAGGCCCTTAATCAGATCTGATAGTTTTTCTCGGAACTGAGGTGCCACCTTCCGCATCCTTTGAGCGATCGGTTTCACGTCGCCGACATCGATGTCACATTTGACTCCGCGGGCAGCGGGCGGTAATGCATTACCTTTACCAATCAGCAGATGTCGGCTTTCCCAGATTTTCTGACGTAACTGATCCACTTCTGCGGGCTCGTTTGCCCCTGGATCCAATTGGATATCGTCAATCGTGACCTCCTCTGTGGTCAGTGGTACCTCCGGGATTACTGCCAGGCCATCCCCGAGATCCTCGGCGTGTAGATCCCCGCCTTCATGGCAACAGACTTGTTCATCTTCCATCTTCGTCGGATCCACCCTTGGATCCAAACACCGCGACCCTCTTCCACCTGGCAGTCATTCTGTCTTCGTGGGATCAGGTACCCTGGTATCGGGGAAGCCACCAGTTGGATCGAGTCGATCCTCTAGCAAGTTTAAACCCGACGGTTCTGCGTTGCCACTCTCGATAAGGATCCAGGCACTTTGCCCCATGAAAAGCTAGGATCCACTCTGGGGTCAGCGGGATCGGGCGGTCCGGCTTCAGCCTTCTGCGATCCTTCCTCCACCGACCCTGCGTTATCTAGGGGCCGACCCTGGGGATCATCCCCGGTCTTGGATCCAACCTCCATCGCTTGGACCTTAATCCGACGATCCCTCTGCAGGATCTTTCGCGGAGTTGGATATGAAGGCCGATCCACCAAGGGACCAGTTAGCCCCGCCGGGAGCTCCACCTCTCCGAGAGATTCGATCTCGGTAGTCGCCTCGTACGCCAGATTCTGCCATTCTCTGTAACGACGGGATCCCACTGACACATATCCAGGTCGCCTAGGGATACCTTCCTTCGCCAACCATCGTCCGATCTCCTCATAATCGTCCAGTAATAGTCTCTTGTCGCTGACGTTCGTGACCTGGAGGTATTGCGATCGACCTGGTCCCTGGAGTACGGTAGGCACCCATTTCTCGCCCCGAGTGACCCACACTTTCTCATGTTCCACCCACTTTAACCGATCTGGCAGTTCCCAGGTTTCTCCGGGCTCGATCCAGGTCGTCTTATCCGCCCTTATAATCCTCATCTTCGCTCCATACAACGGCCGCCGTCCGCTGAGCTGGATCCGCATCTCGTCAGGGAAACAAAGTGTCCCATCCGCCAGATCCAACCTCACTCCGGCTGGTACCATGAAATCCATCCCGAGGATGGCGTCTTGACCAGCGAGATCTCCAACCCAAATATCAAACCAGTACACCAAACAACCTGCCAACGTGATCTTGATTCGCGTTCTCCTGTTCGTACGGTACACGCCTTCACCAATCCCAACACAATCTTGGATCCGACTCCCATCCACTTGGCACCCAACCTTACGAGCAAAGGCGGTATCTAGTATAGACACCTCGGCACCACTATCTAGGAGTAGGATGGCTTTTTCATTGTTGATCTTGCCCCCTACCTTGGCTTGTCTGAACCACTTTCCTGGGGCATGCTACTTCCAGTATCCACGGGACTCCCCTGTTAGCAGATCCATGGATCTAACATCCTCAGATCCACGGGATCCAGTGACCCGACAGACCTTAGGTGGATCTGCAGTGACCTCACCCTTGGTAGGCTCAAACATCGACCATGTTGGTGTTTCTCCCAATAACCACGTGCCTCTCCTCTTTGTAGATCCAGGGTTGAAGAGACTTCGGATCTGGCAAATTCATCCACTTGGCGCAAACTAGAAATCTTGGCAGCTGACACTTCATGTAGATCACGTGTATTATCGACTGGATCTAGGGTTTTGCTACCTGGATCTAGCGAGGTCTTGTTCACAAATGCATAAATGCAGTACCTAGAACGCTCAGCTCGTACCGGATTCAAATCCGGCGAGCGTCCTAGTTTTACATCTTCTCGGCCCCTTCTGGCAACATCCCTCTGTGCTTGGCTGGATCAAGCCACTGGAGGATCTAGTTGTAGAACTCCTCCATCGGACACTTGCCGACGTCGTGAATCTCGCCACAGCCGCGACACACGTAGAAACAATGATCTCCGTGATGACCTATCTTGCCACATTTCTCACAGACCAGATATTTCCAGCATCCAGATTCGGTGTGCTTCCGGGATCCGCACTGCGAACACCTGACTTGTGCCGTCCCGTCCATGAGATCTCGGGATCTGTACACCCCACGGTCCCCGGGTACGGTATCCCCCGACCGCGAGTTGTCTCCGGTCTTCGCCGTTCGATCGCTGGATGCAGTGAGGCAGACTCGACGGTAATCCTCTGGGTCGGAGTCCGAACTGTCAGATCCTAATTCAGTTCCTGAGTCGGGCGCCGTGACTTGGTGGACACGTCGGGTTGGGGTCGTAGGCGTCGGAGCCTTTTGGCGATACTTGCCGGATCCGACCGCCGCCTTCTTCTGGCGGTGTTTCGCGCGATCCACAGCCCGCAGCACTTCTTCGAGCTCATCTGCG